CTGAGACACATCGCCGGGCGCCGGTGGTGAGGGGGCTGCGAGCCGTGCCGAGGGCGGGATGCGGAGTAACGCGGGCGGCCGCCGACACCAAACTGTCTCCCGAAGCCACCGAGCCGGTCCCCAGCGCCAGCGCTGCCACCGCCCTCCGCCCTCAGCAGCCCGGAGCGCCTCCCCCAGCTTTCCGGTGTCGTAGTCTAGGAAACCGCCTCCCCAACGCTACTTCCGGATAGGGCTGAAGTTGTGGAGCCTCAGGACCAACCGGGACGACGTCGGAGAGGGGCTGGCTCCGGCGACAGGCGAGGGCATTGGCCAGGAGAAGTGAGACGTGGACAAAAGGCGGGGCTGGGGCGGGAGCTCCCGCTTGGCGCCTCCTCCGGCCGGCCGCGTTGCCGCCTGCGGACTACCGCTCCCAGCGTGCACCGCTTCCTCCCCGCTCCCCGCGATCCTGGAGCCTCCGCCAAATTTCGACCCCGGTGGGCGCGCTGCACCCTGGGACGTGCGGTCCTCCGAGGGTCACAGGCGATCTTCGGGGTCCGACTTCCCGCGGAGCAGTCCTCCCTCGGTGCTCTGCAGAGGCCCCGGGAACTTTTCAGCTGTTAATCCCTTTTCCCGCGAATGACGTTTCCCTGAGGGCTGCTAAGATGAGGAGCACTGTCCCCACGTCAGTGCCGCATGCCTTAGAAAACAGTGTTGGCTGGAGTAGTCCTCTACCCTCAGGGACATGATGAAACACAGCAACAGCACAGTGATTTGAGCCTTTGCCGGCACTACGCTGAGGCCTTCCCTTGCATTATCTTATGACCTCTTCTGAGCTCTAACAGGTAAGTAGCACCATCCCCCTTTGCAAACAAGGAAGCCGAGCCTTGGAGAAGTTGGCTAACCAGCCCTCGTCACACTGCTGTTGTTACACTGCAACCGGCCTCTGATTCGGACGCACCCGCATTGAACCACTGCACAGTACCACGGGGGTGAAGGAAGACGCTTGGGGCCTAGTACGTGATTAATAATAGTTACTTAAAAGCTCAATGTAAGGAGACCAGTATGGGCAGAGAAAGTTTAGTGCAGGAGACGAACTTGCAATGAGTTTTGATGACTGAGTCCCAAGTTAACGATGGGTAAAATGGCCAGTAGGTGTCTCTTGAAAAGCCACATTTTTTTTTCCCCCTTGGGTGATAATTCAATAGTTAGGCGCAAAGTTTAGGAGCATGGGTGTGACCTCTATGACCACGGTAAATCACTTACTCATCTCCCCAGCAGCATGCAGCTCTCTTTCTGGAAACTTTTCTTCCTTGACTTCTATCACCTTACTTCTTGCATCTTACCTTTTTTGTGTGTGTGTGCTTTTTGAGACCGGCCGCACTGCGCTCAGCCAGTGAGAGCTGTGAGCGCACCTGTCATCCCTATATAGGATCCGAACCCGCGGCGGGAGCGCTGCTGCGCTCCCAGCGCCGCACGAGTGCGCCACGGGCTCGGCCCTAGCATCTTACCTTTCTGACCATTCAGGCTACATCAATGACTCCTCTTCCTTCACTCCCCCTCTCTGCTCTTTCTTAAAATGCAGATGTTACCTCAAGGTTTTCTTTTTGTCGTTTTTGTCTCTGTACTCAAATTATTCCTTGGTGATTTCTTCTACTATGTGGATTCAAACATCATATATCTGTGGATGATTTATACATCAGTATCTGTCCTGATCATTCGATCCATGTTTCCATCTGCCCAGTAGAAATTTCCTTATATTTGACCCAAGGGTAGCTCAAGTGTGATATGTTCTCTGATTCAAATTAATGCATCAGAATCATCCTCAACCCCTTCTCCTTCATGGTCTATGTCTAATCAATTGCCAAATTATATAGATTCTACCTCTGCTATCTTTCAGATTACTACCTTTCTTTCTACTCTCCTATTCAGTTTGAGCCCTGATTACCTCTTTCCTGAACTATTGCAATGGTTTCCTAAGTGATTTCCCTGCCACTCTACTCTCTTCTACATTGCTGCCAGAATTGGCATTCAAAGACATCTGCAAACTCTCTGAACACTTCCTCTCTCCCTTTTATCCTGTGCTCCCCCTCAAATCCTATCTGATAGCTAAATAAATTCTCATCTTATATCCTCATCCTATTTCCTCTGCAACCCCACCATCTTTGGCTGTAGAACACTATATCCCATTCAGACTTAGCTCAGATTCCATCTCCACAAAATCCTTCTAAAACCTTCAAGTCAGCTGAAGTCACCTTCTCTCCCTGTTACTCCATTGTATTTTGTATCTTTACCACTGTGTTTTCCATAGTCTGTCATGTCCACTAGATTGTGACCACTTGAGGGTATTGACTTTAGATTATTTATATGTATATTCCAAAACTCCTAGCACTGTACCTCTCCTGCTATAAATGCTCAATAAATGTTGAATATGCTTGTTTACTTATACCTTCAGTTTCCTTATCTATAAAATGGGAATAATCTAGTCCTTTTATCTACTTACATGGATCCTGTGAAAACACATGAGGTCATTTCTGTACAATGTTTAATTTTATCCTTTTTGCGGATCTGCAATTCTACATTGGTTCCATCCTGCATCCTCCTCGGCAACCTCAATGATGAAGTTAGATAAATAAATAAATAAATGTGAATTGGGTTTGGCTCTGAAACAGAGAACATGACAAGCTAAAGGTCAACACCAATCATCCAGTATTTGAAAACTAAGAACAAAGAAAATAGAAAAATAGTAAGTGACCTTCAGTTATATTGAAATGTAGTCAAGTCAATTATTTCGAGTGGATTATTGGCAATAACTCAGTTTTCTTTACCTTCCTGATGTTCCAAGCCTTTATAAGAAGTCAAAATTGACTATTTCACTATCATTAAGAAACAACATACTAAAGAAGTATTGGCTTTTAATGTTTAGCATTTTCTGGCATATTTGTTTTCAAGCTAACACTGCATTTTCAAAGGATATAATGAAAAGCCAGAGCATATTCCTTGTTTTCTTGCTAAATAATAAGTTTTTTTCTCCACTGCTGAAATTGAGTTTCTAGCCAATGATTGAGTTCATTTTTCACTGACCTCTGCAAAACCATAAGTAGAAAAGCTGGTATGGACTAAAAAGTATTGAAACTTATTATATGTAAGGTAGAGCCCTTTGACGTGGAAGAAGAATATATTTACAAAATGCATTTCAAAAGAGATCTCATTTTTAACCCCTTAAAGGAAGTAATAGAAATTCTTAGCTAATTGGCAGTTTATGGACTAGGAAAAAATTATTTATTATTTTAAAACCTATGCAGTTAGTCATAAAAAGGACACAGGAGTTAATTGAGAGAGCTTTTGTTGTACAGAGGGAAAAACACTGGTAGAAAGCACTTGAGAATGAGGACATGGACTTTTAAAGACTAAGGAAAAGATTTTAGATGTGTAAAGCCCATTAGAAATGGTAAGAAATAGGAGCCATCTATAAAATGCCCTTTAACCAGTTAAGAGTTTGTTTGCATAGCCTTGTAGCTTAGGTAAATATGTATGCTCACTTTCCTGCCTGGATGTGTCAGAAGTTAGGGATGGGAGCCTTGGGCAGAACCATATGGATTAACAAACATAAGGGAAGGACTCCACTTTCATATTATGGCTCAGAAGTAGTCGCAGAAGGCGCAGCTGTGCACGACTGGTCACGGAATAGCAGTTGCCCCTAAATGACTTGAATTCTTTATACCACAGATCTAATTACTCCTAAACTCAAGTATGGAATTTGGGAGTGGTGATTTTGTCATTCTTCACATCACTTTTCCTATTATTTGATAATGTGTGGAATTTACAGAACACTTTTCTTCTTGAGAATCCAATCTTGTAAACATTAGATGAAGATAATACCTTTCCTACATTCACAACGAGGGACTTTAAGGCCCTAGAAAGAGTACTTCATGAAAAAGGTACTCAGTGAATGCTGTGGGCTGACTCCCTGCATGGCTGTCTGACTGTCTTATCTAAATTCCAAGAAAGAGAATGAGGAATTCAGGTGGTTCACTGCCTACCCCCAGTGATATCCCCAGGGCTTTTCCCCCCTCTCATTTATGATTTGAGATTATCAAAATCACTTCAGCTTCAGATTATTATCTCATTTCTCTCATTGACACCAGCACCAGCTCTCTCAGGCTAGAGATTTTGCTCTCACATCATGGTGTTAAGTTCACTCTTGTGGTTAGGTCTCTCATTTAGTAGCCATTTTCCACTTATTTCATGTATCAGAAGCAAGGCCAAGTCACATGGCTGTTCATGAGCGAGTACATCTTGCCTCTGGTCTCTCTTAAATCCCCCATTTGCACCACCAACATAGTTCCCACTTATAAGTTTACTGTGGCCACAAGATTTTAAGTCAGCGCCATTCCACAACTTTCCAAGCAGGTATCATAGAGGCCAAGAACGATGGCTCTGAGCCGGCTCTGCTAATTATTAGCCATGTCACCTTAAGCAAATGACTGAATTTCTTTTTGCCTTGGTCCTCATTTGTGAAGTGAAGGTAAGAATAGTACCTACCTCATAGCATTTTCAGGAGGATTAAATAGTTTTTTATAATACCTTCCTTCTAGGGTTGTTGTGAAAATAAT